ACGTCAAGGGATTAATATACTATTTTTTATTACGAAACGTTTTAATTTTGTTGAATAAAAAGTATGGTCACCGTGAGTATGGTAGAATTTAGCTCGATGCATTTAATTCGCGTTGGAACTTTCGTCGGTTGCCGTACGAGAGAGAGTCCAATGGTTATCCACGCGCATGGACGTAGCGGACTCACGTCTCTATTAAAGCTACGCTCATTTTCACTGAGCCGCATGGACATTCGAGTATGCGACTAAACCCCGTGAATATTCGTTGACTTCAACAAAACGCCGACGAACGAATGACCCGTGTGATTCTTCTTTTCGCTACCCTAAAAGTCGCTGCCTCGACGTCGTAATAAAACTCCGGACGATTCCATCGGGCGGCGATGTTTATTTGATAAAATTAAGTTGCGCGTTTAGCACTTGCCGTGGAATTCATAGCTCTTGCGCGAGGAATTTAATTTCAATTAAATTTCATTCCAGTTTCTGGATTTCTTCGCTTCCTATTTTATTTTACCTTTTATTAAAAACGTTCGACGCGAAACTCAGGAATTTAATAATAAATTGATTCTACCAAGTAGTTTTAAACGTAACATAGCAATTTCACGTTTCCCGTGTCATTTTAATCGTAACTGATAATTCTACTTTTAATTGTAACTGATAATTCTGCCAATTCTGAATAAACGACAAATGTACATAAATACGATCGCACGTGATTCATTCACCGAAGTCCCCTCACTCCCTCCCTCCCTCCCTCCTCTCAGGACCCGTTGAAGAACCGAGGATCGTAGGTGCTTTTCCCGGGATTAGAGGCTCGCGAGGAACGCCGCGACGACGACGATGACGACGACGACGGGGCGCAGTTGCCTCGTCCCGGGGTGTGTACGGCATGCGGCGCGTGTGTCGCGCGACGGTAGCTACCCGGGGGTTCGCCGACGGCGAGGGAGCGAAAGGGAGATATCCGGTATTGCGGCCGGAAGCCAGGGTCTCTTCCGGGGGTTTAACGTACACACTCCACCCTCGGTAGGCGGAGTGTACCGCCTACGAGCTGCCCCCACCGTGGCTGGCAGCACTGATACGCGATATCAGCGAACACTTGTTGCTCCGACGTATAGAGATTCTGCCGTGACGTCGACGGCGGGAACGCGCGCTCCGTTGCCGCGATTTTTCACGTGCTGATTTTTACCACCACCACCAGCACCACCACCACCGCCGCCCACCCCTGGGATCTCCCCGAAACACCCGCGCGCGCGAGACTCCTTCTAAATCCGTTCGGTGGTAAATTTTCGTTCCTCCCGTTCCTTTCCACGATTTTCTTCCCACTTTCGTTCCCCCGTTTATTCCCGCTGTTAATTCCCGACGGCCGGTACGTTTCCTCGCGGGCTACGCGACACGCTCGGAAACGAGTGCCGCGCGGAGCGGATTCCGTCACGCGGGAAAATGTCGAATCTGCGACAACGCTGCGAACCATCGTCGTCGTCATCATCGTACGTCGCGATCCTCGGCGATCGTCCGATATGATACGCGACCAGTCCGCCGATTCACAGTAAATCTAATTCCTGCCATCCTTCCACGTTTCGGATACCCCGACGTTCGTTTTGTGTTTACTCGTAATTTTATGTGAATCGAAATCCGTTCTGTGTTCTCGCAAATTTCATTTAACCGAATAGAAGAGAATCATGGAAATTGCGTTAAACGTATTTCACGTACGACCGCGAAATGTACTATTAAGTGCAACGAGCGTTCATTGATAGAACGAAAGCTCGCTAGTTACCTGGCATTGTTTCATTAATTCTCTCTCTTTTTTTTCTTTCTCTCTCTCCTCGAGAGTTCTATCAGAGTCACGTAGAACGAATCGAGTCTCGGACACGGAAGAAACAACGGGTCATGTGTGTATGGTTGATTGTTACAGGCAGTGCGGTGGCTGCAGCCGACACCATTTCCGCGCCGTGGACTCCCACGAGTTCCGGGCCGCCGCCCGACGCGAACGGCTCCGGCTCGGATTCCAAGAACCTCGACGTTGGCGAAATTAGCGATGTAAGTTACTCATCTCTACTCTAGCAACCGTTAACCCTCCACGCGGATTGGATGCTCCATACGCAACGAGACCGATCCGTATTTCTCCGAGCCGTCGGAAGCAAAATCATTGCCCTAATAATAGAATAATAACACGGTTCGAATCTCAAATGCAGAGAAGGTGCAGAATGAAGTTGATTTCAAGCGATAAACGAACGACTCCTTAACGGGCAATTAGGCTTTGTTATAAATAAAAGAAATTAAAACTGGAATTTATAGTCGTTTCTCAGTTCTCAGTTCTCAATTGTTTGTTCCATGATACATGATTGATGAAAATCGAGTTTTATCCCATTTTTTAAATTTTATTGAAGTGAATAAACTTACCACAATGACTATAGATGCTTATATACGAAACACATAAATATGCAACAAGCAGTTGAGAACTGAGTACTGAGAAACGACCATAAATTTGGACCTAATACGTCTGCCTCTCTTCGAGTCTCGTCGACAACGTCTAATCCTATCTTCATGAAAGATTGTCTATTTTTCTGAGATCCCACATACATAACGATGATACATAATAAATAAAAGATTATGGCAGTGATTTTGCTGGGTTCTGACAAATAATGAATCTTCTCATTCGTCTTACTCACAGACTTTCATATGAAACGTATAAATACATACTCTATGTATTATTTGTTACACATAGACTTCTACATAATAGACAGACACCATTCTATATATTTTATAC